TCTGTTATGACAAAGACTGGTTTAAAAAATATACTCATTTTGAGGAGCCCAAAACCATCATGCTTGGTGATTCTCACATAACTCAAGTGCTTGAAACGGGAGATGTCGAATTGTGTTTTACTTTTAGAAGGGTATTAACTTTGAAAGATGTACTCTATACTCCTTCTATGAGAAAAAAATTGATGTCTACTTTTCTTTTTAATAAAGCAGGCTTTAAATAGTTTATTGAATCTGATCAATATGTAATTGTGAAGAAAGATATTTTTGTGGGAAAGAGGACTACTGCTGGACCGGTGAAAACATTTGCTGCAGTGGGCTTGAATCTCCTTAAAGAGAGTGAGATATCCGTTCTTCAGCCTGAAGAGATTTATTTCTTCATTTTTATTTTCAATTGTAATCTTGTAATTTTATTATCTTGTAATTTTTCACTAACATAAACTAATAAGAATAGATACTACACTTGATCTTAGCCAAAAGGCCGAGAAAGGTTTGATTTTCAAGTGTTACGCAAGGCTATTTTATATGCAACTTGTTACATATAATCTCTCTTTCTAGTCAGTGTGGGAAGAGCTAGATATGATTGACTAATTAATCTTTTCTTTGATTTTATATTAATCTAATTCAATCCCATTAATATAATATTGATCAAAGAACAGTGAAAAGCTTAATTATGAAGGTTAAATATACTGGGATTAGAAGCTTATTTTAACTTTATATCAAACTAATTCAATCCCATCAATATAATATTTTGGTTTTAAAGGTTTCTGAAAGAGTAGATAATTTATACTTTTCAACACGAGAATTTCACTGCGTGATTTGTCATCAATCTTGAGGATCTTATAGTCATCACTAGTCGAGTCATATCCCAATCCCCAGGTACAATTGTCCTTTGGAAGAATTTTCGGAAAGGGAAGTAGTATTGATTCTCTCGTGGAGGGGTTCAATAGCAAAAGTTGTAAGTATTTATCGGGATAATAAAAAATCCCCATAAGCACCAAGCCATCGCAACAACAATATAATGTGTGACACCATGATTTATTATTAGAAGGACAATCAAGTTTTTGTACTTGCTCAACCTGTTGAACTGACGGTAAAGAATAACAATACAAGGAAACCTTGTCAGTATAAGAGTAGCATTGGTTAACAATAATTTTTTGGGAATTTTCGTCATTCCCAATATTATTGAGATGTGTTATGTTCTTTGATGTTTTGATGATCTCCTCACACGTGCAGAGACCTGGTCCTCTGTAGAGTATAAATACTCGTCCAGTGGTCAAAGTGCTGTACAGCTGTAAAAGCTGTCCGCGTCAGAGAGTTGGTGAAATTGTAGAGTACTCCACCAATCAGAAGCGACGAGGTTGTTTGTTCATTGGATAATAACTTTTCATGTCTAAATA